TTGCAGTACTTTCTTCAAATTCTAATAAAAAATACAAAAAACAAAAAAAAATAGATAATATATACAAATCAAGCTTCGAGTTATCTCAATCTGAGGAGTTTGTTTCTAATGAACATAATAATTTGACTAATAGCAATAATGATAATACACTTAATAGCTATAATCTGATTAATAGCGATAATAATAATATAGCTGATGAATGTAATAATTTGGTTAATGAAGAATCTCATTTAATTTTAGAAAAATTTAAGAATACATCAAAATTACCAAATTTAAATGCAATAAAGCTAGTTCCTCTTATTATACATTCAGGATGAAGTTGGATTTGGTTATATTATCAACGCTATGAAGCTGTACCACCTTACAAAATAATTGTAAGTTGTTTGGTAGAAATTTATTGTAATACTAGTAAAAGTGAATTATGTAGACATATTATGGGGTCAGTAGACAGTTCAACAGGAAATTATATTGGACATTTAGCAACACAGCATGGTATTACAGAAAGTTCTCATAATAAAAAAACAAAAAAATCACAACCTTCACAACTTCAAATTGATCAAATGATTTATAACAACCCAAAATGCAAGTGACGTAAAGATCAAAAATTTGTTGAATTTTTAATTAAAGATCACCAACCAATAAGTATTCGAAATGATGAAGGTCTTAAAGATTTTATTGCAGAATTTGATCCATCATACCGATTTCCAAGTGAAAAATATTTCCGACAGTTACTTTCTGAAATATATGAGCATACTAAACTATCTTTATTAAATATTTTTGAAAAAAATATTATATTATGCTCTTTAACCTGTGATTTATGGACTGGATGTAATAGATTAGGATATCTGGGTATTACTTGTTCTTATATTGATAATAGTTTTCAGTTACAAGAAAACATACTTTCTATTAGATATTTTCCTTATCTGCATACTGGCGAAATTATCTCTAAAACTTTAAATTCAATTATTAATGAATGGAATCTTGATAATAAAGTATTTACAATTACTACTGATAATGGTAGTAATATGGTTAAAGCATTAAATTTAATGCCTAATATTGTTCGCATACCGTGTACAGCTCACACTCTTCAATTGGTTATCGGGAAGGGTCTTTTAGAAGTAGAAAATTTAGTTACACAGGCTAAAAGACTTATGTTATATTTTACTACTCCTAAACAAACACAATGACTTTTAGAAACTCAAAAAAAGTTTAATTGTAATGAAGATATCGTAAGTATAATATTTATTTATATACATAATAACAATAATAATAAATTATTAAATTTATTAATATTTGTAATAAAAATTTTTTAAATTTAATTAGGACCTTTCTCAAAATGATCATGAATTACGTATAATTGCTGATATGCCAACAAGATGGAATTCATCTTTTCTTGCCTGGCAACGGCTAATTAAAATTCAAAATATAATTAATCTTATTATTACAAACTTTCTTTAGATGCAGACTATTAAATACGTAAAGAAGGTGCGAAATTAAAAAAGATTAATCTTACTGATATTGAATGGGAAGCTATAAAAAACCTTGTTACAATACTTGAACCATTTGCAGAGGCAACAAAATTTTTAGGAGGTAGTAAATATGCAACAATAAGCTTTATGTATAGTGCGATCAATACGATTATGAATAATCTTATACTTACTAATAATATTGAGCTACGACAAGTAGACTATAAAGATAACGAAGATGTTTTTAATGATACTATTTTAAATAAGGATCAAGCAGATAATATCGAGTCAGTTAACTTTCAACAATTTAATGTTCCTCAAAATTGTGTAAATTTTGAAGAAAGAGTAAAAACGGCTTTATATAATGCTATGAATTATTATTGGCAAATGCCATCAGAAGAAGGAATGTTAGCTGCATTACTTGACCCTCGATGTAAAATATTAAATTTTACTTCAGAATCTTTAAAAGCTAGAACTTATGATTCATTGTGTGAGATATATAAGCAATATCAAAATCAAACTAATATACTACCTATTAAACAGCCATTACAATCTACAAGCAAACTATTAGCCTCTATGTATCGATCAAGTAATATTCAAATAGACGAAATCTCTGACTATATTGGAATGCCAGAAATTTCTTATGATCAATGTTCATTTGAATGGTGGAAAAGTAACCAAAATCGGTTTCCAGTTTTAGCTTATTTGGCACGTAAATATCTAGCTATTTTGGCTACTTCAACCCCTAGTGAGAGGTTATTTAGTGATGCTAGAAACGTAATGTCTATTAAAAGAATAAGTCTTTTACCTATTACATTTGAGCACTTAATTTTTTTAAAAAAAAATTGGTATAGCGTTGATAGTATTTTTCCAAATATGAAGAATAAGAAGTAAATTTTTAATTATATAAAAATAGTGATATATTTTTTTATCATTATATATATATAAATAAATAGGGAATTGTCAATTTTTTTCTTATATTGATATATATTAATAAAAAAACTAATCATACTTTTTTATTATTATAATTAATATAAAACTATTTAGCATAATAAAATTGGTATGAATAAAGTAGTTAGTAAATATAATTATTATATACTGTAGTAATGTATTAGATTGCTTAACTATTTCAATTTTTATAAGTACATAATGCCGTAATAGTAGTTCTAAGCTTAAGAGGCTAAAAACAGTAATTGGATACCATCCATTCAAATAGCAAAAGTATCAAATAACTACGTATAATAGACATATTCGGGTAAGTATGCTGTGTATTATCATTTGATAGATTAGTTTGTAAAAAAAGCCACATATTAATTTATTTCTTTGCTCCTGCCTACAAATACAAATTTGATTTTTTTCCATTTGAATGATCACGTGAAACATGTGATTATGATTTGAATCGATTGCTTCTTTCTTTTCTCCAATGCTAAGTACAATTTTTTTTATTTATATTTATTCTTTTACTAATGTGACCAACTGCTTAATACTTTAGAATTCTAATTTCATGTCTTCATCAAATACACAGGTCTGTATTATTTCATTAACACTTATTTCATCGAAAAGCTTATTTTATATAGATGATTAATTTACATTTTATAAACTTTGCCAATAGCTCATAAGTTGTTTTTATAAATTGCACTGATCTTGGTTCTAATTCTAAATCTGACCCTAATGACTATGACTAAAATTACTTTATCTATGAAATACACTATTGGTGAAATATACTGTCTACAAAATGACAATACTAAACAATGAAAATTAACTGTATATTGGAAAGACAAAATTTTTTAAAAGGAATATAGTTGGTTAAGATAATAAATACCAGATGGTGTTTAGTCAAAATACAGATTATGACGTAGTTTTGTGCTACTAGTAAAGGTAGATTTATTTAAAAGATAGAATTATTAATTAAATGCATGTATAAAAGCAAACTTTACTGCATAGTTAAACAAACTATAAATTGTTTACCATATTGTTTAATTAATTCTGTAATTTGATTGGACAATAATCTATTCACATGATATCCGAATACAATCCAAGATATAACCGTTATCCTTTTATTTCAACAGGATATAAAACCGGTTATTAGATTTTATTAAAGGGTATACCCTTTTGGGTAAAGAGTTAACCGGGTACGACCACTAGGCCAGACTTAATGTACAGAGCAGGCTATAGCACTCTTCGCAGCTGTGAGAGCTAAGCATACAGTGAGCAAATCTACAGAAGAATCTTCTACTTCCTTGAATTCCATTTCATCATCAAACATCAAGAAAGCATCACATGAACCAATTTATGACCCAGACTCATGCTACAATCAATGGCTAACATATGTAAATCTACCCTTACTTTCATATTCACAAACACTCAACTCCTTTTTAAAACACATTTATCAATACAACTTTACACAATACAACATTACACAATACAACAATTTTAACTATGCATTTAGACTAGCAATCAAACTTGACTATAGTGAATATTATATACATCTACCAAATGTGTCTCAAACCTTACCTAATTACTTCTTTTCATGACTATCAAGTTACATCTACTACCCATCTATACCTATTCCTTCTAAATTTTCCTTAAAAAACAATATTACATTAAATACTAATCTAATCATAAAAGATAATGAACTATATAATATCTATTCTCAATTAGTAGGAACTATCTTGGAGGGCTATGATGAAACTATCATAGCCAATCGATACTATAACAACATTCAATTTGATACCTGTTATAACAAATTTCTATTTTACAACCATATACCATTACTCCCTCACCCTTAAACTATTATTACTTTTTTATGACATATCTATAGCTTTGGCTATTCATCTGATAACTTATGTAGCTACACATTAACTATCTTTATCAAAAATGATCATAGTGAAGCTCATGTTTATCTTTTATCTGAACCCAAACCCTTACCTAATCATTTATCTTATCTGTCCAAGCCATTTGGCACTATCCAAATATCCAACTAAAATCAAATACACCAACACTAGTCTTTTCCATATCAGCATCTCTAGACCACCAGTTCTTTTCTATCTCTCACCTATCTCAAGGACCAGAATCTCCAAACTATCATATTCTATTTCCATTATCTTCTAACAACTCAATACAAACAAATTTCAAACCACTTGACCTATTAATCTGTACACATAATGTGTGAGGCTATAATGAAGATTTAAAATAACAAATTTGGGAAGACTTCTGTCTCTTCAACAATCTCAAAATTATTAGCATTACAGAAACTAAAATCACTGCAAATTAACCATAACCAAACTACAAAAATCCAAACACTTTACTTAGCTCTGGTTCTGTACTGATAACCCAAAAGCTGGCACAGCTATTATGATTTATAAGTCTATTAAATGCCACATCTACAAAATTTTACTTTTTACAGGATATGCCATCGCAGTAGACCTTTTCTTCAAACACAACTTCAAGTTTAAGATTATTTTAATTTACTTACCAAGTGATAACTCCCAACTCAGACTAGCAGTACAAAATACTATTATATAATGGATTCAATAAGCCATTATACTAAACATACAACCTATCATATTGGGTGACTTTAATGCATCCGATTATCTTACTCAATTCTTTTCAATCAAATATAAACTACTTCACTTTCTTCAATATAACAATTTATATAACCTAGCTAGTTATACATAATCCTCTATACCTACTTGGCAAAGCAGTAGATATAGTAGTAGCATTGACTATATCTGGGCTCACCAACCTCTTCTTCATTATCTTAACTCTTTTACCATTGAAGATCCTGATACTAGACTCAAAGTGATCACAAAATTCTTATTTCTAATTGGTCTTTTTCTTATGCATACTCTGGCAAACCCCGTTACTCAACCAAAACTCAATGAAGAACATTCCTATATAAAAATATGAACAATGAACAATGGCAAATCTTTTCAGATCAAGTAACTTTAAATCTAACTACTAACCAAACACCACTTGATATACAAACTTCTGAATCTCTAGAATCTACATGGCACAAAATTCAGAATAGTATCATTACTGCAGCCCTCTAACATA